TAGATGCCCCCCCCCCCCCCCCCCCCCCCCTCGCCAAAGGTAGGAAGGAACGATTGGCCATCGGTGATCGGTCCTGTGAGAACATTGCTCCATCCTCTCGAGGACGCGTGGTCAATGGTCTAACCGTTAAGACATGCAACACATGAAAGAGTACGCTCCTCGCCCCCCCCCGCCCCCCCCGCGCGCTCTTCGTGCACTTGTACGAAAAGAACGAGATGTTCTGGAGGGACCTCTCGCCCCACTCGCGAGAACTGGTCCTGAGAATGGTCCTCACTCAGTCGCCCACCCACTTCCGCCACGTCGAGGACGAAGACACGGAGAGCAACTACATGAAATTCGCCATCGACGAACAGCCCCAGGGTAAGTTTGCGTTGTCGTCCCATTCATTCTGGCGCCAGTCCACACACCTCTCGGTGTAAATGTTCGACGTACGATGTATGTTATCCGCTCGGTTTATATGCTTGACGTGTCACCCACAGGGTTACACAGGAGTCGTACTTTTTTTGTGTGCAAAACGGCTCACTTTTTTCGTTGTACTTGTCTCTTCTTCGCGTGCTGCATTCCTCACGATCGCTGTTGTCCCCCTCCCCTCCGCCGCCCCCCTCGCCCCCCTTCCTTCGGTTCCTGCTTGCGCACTCTCCGACAATGATGACGTCAACAACACCACCACCACTAACAACATTTTTTTTTTTTTTCACGACAACAACGTGATCATCAACAACAACAACGACAGCAGCAGCAGCAGCAGCAGCGGTAGCAGCACAAAGCCCTAGTCGACAATGGCCGGCGCTCCCAGGGCAGGGCGGGGCATTGGACCCTCAGAGCGACCTGGCTCTTGCGATGCGCCTGGGTTGCAGGTTTGTGCGGAGTATAATTTCACTGCTGTTCAGTCCAGTTTTCTGGTGGGAGGTGCAGAATTTTCAACACCGTTTTTTTTAACCACAATTTGCTTGAAAGTATTTAAAAACTACGCCCGTCCCGTCCCATACCGTCCCAGGACCGTCCACGGTATGGAGTAGGCATCAACTAATGTGTGTCACGTGCCGTTCATCTGGTGACCCAACTAATATGTTCTCAGCTTTGAATCTACTCCCATGCCTCCATTTTTTGTGCGACGTGGTGGCCCATCTAATGACGATATCAGCTTCAAACCTACTCCCATCTCTCTCCCGTCCGCTATCTCATAAGCCATTCCCATTCCGTCCCGTCCCGTGTCAGGACCGGCCACGTGCTGGTAGCGGCAATGGAAGAAGCATCTCTGGGGTTCGAGCCTCACTTGGTTGTGGCCCGGGCTGCTCTGCTGTCGGGCCTGTCGCAGTGCGTCATGCGCTACGCACTGGCGCACATCGCGTCCAATCCCACCAGCAGCAACAGGTTGGTTTCTTTTACAAGCCCTCAGCCGGTTACGCCTACTTGTAGAAGCGCTTTCTTCGTGCCTACCAGCCAAGAAAAAGGGAGGGTAATGTGGGAATCGCCAACCTTTTGCCAAGGACCCTCATTTCTCTTTCCGTTCTCTTGGTTTCTCTCTTTTCACGCTCGTTCTTTTTTTTGTCGCCGGTAAAGCTTGCCTGTCAACCCCGGAGACAAAGAAGGTATTCAGCGTAGGGGTGCGTGGGCTTTTTGTCACGATCATCCGCGGCGCCCCTGTTGGAGGCTTCGGGTTAGGGTTAGTCGCCGTGTGACTGCGTGTGTATGTCCCATCTACTCTGGCACCGACCTACGCACCTCTCGGTGTATATTTCTGATGTATCCGCCGGGGTCACATAGAAGGAAGGTCACGCAGGACTTTGTTTGCCCCACCTCGCCTCCTGCGGTACGTGTGTACGAAGTAGTTTTTTTTCCGATCAAGGCGGCTTGACAAAAGGCCATAATTCACTCTCGTTCTCTTCCTCCCGACGATCTAAGCCCTATCCCTGGAAACCGTACCCCCCCCCCCCACACACACACTTGCGAACAAACCTATCAGCGGGGCCCCGGCCGTCGGTTTGGAGCGGTTCACGTCGGTGGGCCATCTCGCCGGCCGCCAGAGGGTGTGGGGAGCCATGGCCAACGCCAACATCATTAGGGGTGGCAGTGGCAAGACGTGAGCAGCAGCAGCAGCAGTAGCAGTAGCAGAGTCCAGGGTTAGGCTTTATTCGCGAGCCACCTTTGGCTGGAGTGTTCGCTGTTGTCGCGTTGGGATATGCTGTGCATGTTGCCGGTGATCCCCCCTCCCCCCCCGGCCGGAACTAATATCTGTTGTGTTCGTTTATTTTCTTCCTATTTTTTTTGCGTTTTTTCCTTTATTTTTTTTTAATGGTCCAAATATTGTAGCTTATTTGCCCATATCCGAGTTCCATCCCAAATCTGTTCCAGTTTATGTTTTATTGGTGCGAAGAGCTTCTTCGCCCGTCCAAGCTCCATTCGGATGCGTCAACAATGGTACACTCCGTTTCTCGGTTCTCGACGAGACAGCTACGGGCGGCTAAGCAACGTGGAGGCCCTCCTGGGAGAGGTGCAGACGGTCTTCCCCCCCCGGGGAGCTTTCCACCTGGACTACATGCTCTTCGGCGCGGCGTCCGGGTGCATGGGTTTCGACCGAGAGGCATTTGCTCTCATGCTCGACCAGGTGCGTGCGAAGGAAGTGTAGAAGAAAAACAAAACTGATGGGCATGGCATGACGTTCCGTTTGTGAGCAGGAGAAAAAAGAAAGATGATGGCATGTCCAATTCTCACCACGTCTGATATTCTTGAATAATACAGTAGAAGTAATAGCTGCTGATTGTGTGCAAAATGTGGCGGAGCCGGCGTCCGCAAACATCTGCTGAGGTTGTAAATGTGGGGCAGGGACGGTGCTACTGCATTGACTCGGAAAAGGATGCCTCGCAAAATTTGATGGCGAACGGCTTCGAGATCGCAACAATCGAGCCGCCCCCCTCTGTTTCCGCTCCTCCCGCAGAACCCCCGTTCTTTGCCCATCTTTATCAAGATGCACCGGGCCTCCCACTGGCTGTACAAGAAGCTGCTGCACCACATTGTGCTCAAGACGGACACGCTCATCAGGTACACATGACTGCTTTCGTGTGTCCAGTATTTTTTTTTTGGTTTGTTTCACTACCCATGCCGTACATGTCCTCTGAGTTTCGCTCGATAGTTATTTTTTGTTGTTGTGTTTCTTTTCCCTTTTGTTTTCACAAGCAGCTTAACGAAGGCCCGGTGCTCGACCTCTGCCGTGTGTTTGGATTGTTTTCTTTGACCTTGGTGAAAAAATCGGTTGCTCATTTCTTTAACTTTTCGTACGTTGACTCGACAATCTTAATCTTCACGCATTCTTTTCATCATCACCGCTCTCCCACTTCCACCCCCCCCCCCAAAAGCAACCTGATGAAGACTATCAAAGCCATTGACGTAGAAGCGCTCGACGGTTTCGTCGGCATCGAGGAGAACGAAAGCGGCGACGCTGCGCGCGTGCAAGGCGGTTCCTCCCCGGCGGATGATCCGGAGAGTGGAAACTGGCTAGTCGAGCAAAGGTGACGCACGCTGTCGTGAAGAACAAGCACAAGGTTGAGTGGTCCTAGAAACTCGGCCGAGGCCGAGGAAATTTCACGCGAGCGAGCTGTGTACTGCTGTAGAACGAGGAAGAGAGGTCCTAGAAACTGGCTCGTGCAAATGTGACGCTAATGGCAAGGAAGGATAGGTCCTAGAGACTTAATGTCTTCCAAAGGTGACGCGCGCTGTATGTAAGGAAAGGAGAGGTCGTAGGCCGTTTGTTGGAGCGCAGGGTCCGCGACCGACTAGATCCTATTACAGCGTCCTTGCGCGTATGTTTTCCTGTAGTCACATATTCCCGTATTCGAGATTCCCATGTTTTTTTCCGCATTCCCGTAAACCCGGCCTTCACTTCTCGAGACTTGGATTGGCGCGTATGCATATGAGTCGACGCTGACTTTCCCCTCGTTGCACCCCAAATCTCATTCTCTCTCACATTAGCATCCCATCCGCATTCCCACGTCCGTCCCACATTTCCATATTTCCATATTCCCGTGGTAATCACCCAGGCGTTCCTTGGAGCGCATGATCCGAGACCAGGACCTGCCCATCGCCTTCAGTCAGTGGATCGACCAAATGTTGCTGCGACGGGTATGTGTGTGTAACCGTATTGTTAGTATCGGCCACACTGACCGGCTGGCCAATTTCAGCCTCATTGCGGTCGAAAGAGCGCTTCAAAAGCCCGTGATCTGGGACCCCGTGTGTTTGCGTGTATGCGTTTCTTTGTTCCTACTTGTAGCGCGTCTCTGTTCCCAGAGGGCGTGAGTGTTTGGGAGAGGCAGAGGGGGGACTGCTGTTGCTGTGCCGTGGTGCTTGTTTTGGCGTTCGTGGTAAGAGTAGAAACAAGGCCGAACGAAAACACAACCACCACCACCACCACCACCAAAGTCTACAACAATAACAACAACAACAACAACAACAACAACAACGAAAACCGCGACAGGAACCCTTGCTAGCGGACTACTGGGATGCCCGCGACGCCGGCAACTTCTCGGAGGCCCTGGTCTCCCTCAAGCTTGTTGAGTCCGACCTATCGGTGCCGCTCCTGACGGGCATCCCGGCCGGGCTCAGCTCCTACGAAGACCTCGCCACGTTCGCCAAGTGCGGCAGCACCATCGGCATGATGCGGGCGCCCCGGGACCCCGAGGGGGGCTCCGCAGCGGAGTGCCGGCTCGGGGGGGGGAGGGATGTGCCCGAAGGCAACAGCACCCAGCCTTCCAAGATCAAGGCGGACGGAGGCGTGTGCGTGATCGCCATGGACTCCGGGACGTGGCCTCTCTACGGAGGCGGGGTGTCGGTGTGCCGGAAGCAGCTGCTGGACGACACGGTCGGGCGCGTGCGTTGGAACACCCTCTTCGAGGTCGCCCTGCCGGCGCCCCTCCCCAACACAGTCGAGATCCCGGAGAACATCCGGCAGGTGCTGCCGATCCCGCTGTGGAGCCAGAACGCGGGGGGTTCCTACGAGACGTTCATGGCCCACACGTCGTTCATCACGAGGGCCCTGAGGGAGTCGAGGACCACGAATGCGGCCATAAACGCATTCTTCGTACCGCAGCTCAAGACGCTCATCGACCTGGCCAACACCCCCGGGGAGTCCGTGTCCGTGGGGGGACTGGAGGTGGCGGCGACGGCCATCGCCGAGATCTACGCTTATTTCCAGGCGCGTGTTTTTTTAGGGTGGGGGGGGGCGGCGGGGTGCTGTAGTTTGTGATGTTGCTTCTGTTGCTCATGCTATTTCTGTTCAATGTTTCTGTTGGATGTTGTTTTTGTTATTGCTGCTGCCGCTGTGGTTGCTGTCGTGCTGTTGTGCCTAAATACTGTTGCTGTTGGAAGTCGTGTTTGTATTTTGTGTGGATGGCGGCGGCCGTTCCTTTGCTGCTGTAAGTGTGCAACACGGAGACTAAGCTTAATTGTCGATGCCGTCCTCGTCGTCGTCATCGCTGTCGACCTCACGTCGTCCGTATCGATTACGTTCATCGTCTTATTTTCTGATGCAATTTTTACGTCGGTCTCGCGTCGCCAGTGTTGATATTTTCTTCATCTGTTTCTCTTCATTATTTGCTCTTTTAACCTCTGTCTCACGTCGTCTGTGTTGATATGCGTAACATGTTTTTTTCTTTGTAATGCAAATAGTAGTATCATTCAACCTTTCGCTTCACACCTGGGGTTGAGGTGAACCACTAGCTGAAACGATTTCATGTTCTTCGTGTAACTCCTGTCAGGTGTTCGACTGGGAGACGACTTGGAAAGCCGGAACGACTCACGACCACTGGGCAGCTTCTTGGCTGGCGTGTGCCGCGCGTGACAAGCAGGTAAGTGAATCTACGACATGTACGACCCAGGCGACGCAAGACGAGACGAGACCGTGAGGCGGGGGTTGTACTCGTGTTTTGCAGATGCCTTAGTTGTTAGACCCGTGTCCGCGCGTCCTGAGCGTTGTTCCCACAGGACCCAGGCGTGGGGGGGGGTATAGGAGACGACTTGAGGAGGCACGCCCAGACGGTGGGGGATAGTGTCAGACAGACCGGACCGCCTTCGCGAGAAGTTTATGAGGAAATAGAATAGGGAGGGGGTACGCAGACCGTATCCCCAACCCTGACTCAACTTCCCTGATTGTATGCTTTATTCGACACGTTTACGTGATCGAAAAACCCTGCGGAGGCTACTGGGTCAGACACGCAAGGGGCGATTTGTAAATTTCGCCGCTATTCATCTCTCTCTTGTATTCTTCTCCTCTTTTTTGACCTGCGTCAGGCGGGACCCCTATTGAATTCGGAGAGGCCCAACCTGGCGGAGCTTCACGAGATCCTCAACTACTGGCAGACCCTTCTCACGTGCTTCCAGGTAAAATGCCCAAGAAACGATGGTTGATTCCATCATTGTGTGATGCGTAGGGGGCTTGTTTTATGTTCTACTCCGACGAGACGATGTAGTGGTTCCATTCATGGTGGTTTGTTTCTCTCCATCTTTCGTTGTCTTCTGCGCGTGTGAGCAGGTTCAACTCCCAGAGATGAACGCGGTCAACAGAGGCGTCATCCACGTCTCCCACCACGGCACTCAGGTGACAGTCACTACAATCAAACTTTTGCGTCGCACGTCAATTTCTGAAGTGTAGCAGCAGTCCGGGCTTGCGCTTTCGTATTTCGTCCCAACGTATGCATTCGCGCATTTTTGTAGAGCCCTTTCCATGTCTTCCGCCCATGAAACAAGAATATAACTACGGCAAAACCTGAAAAGAAAGAAATGATTGTGTTGGGCCAGCGAACACGCTGAACCCGCGTACGATATCTGTTCATTTGTTTTGGCGAGGGCGCACATGTTAGAACACGATTTGTTTGTCCTGACATATTACGATATGTTTTTGTGCTTGATCCTCCTCTCTGCGTGTGCATGCTGCACGAAGATTGTTTGGCCTTTCATTTGTGACGAAAAGTTTACTCTGTACTCTTCCCTTCTGTGTGGTGTACCATGCGAGAAGGCCCGCTATTTCGTGCTTCATACACCCTCTACGTGTTACGGTGGACGAAAATTGTCTTAGTCTGGCATTTACAAGAAGCCTCTGCTATTCTACTCTCTTCTGTGTGTTTTGTACCGTCCCAAAAGGCCCTGGTGGGAATCGCCGCGAAGCGTCTCTCCGGGTGGGGGCTCGTTGTGTGGGATCACGGGATGCTCTGGCGGGAACGCTGCAAGGCCATCGCGGAGCTTCACAGCTCCAGCCTGTTCGTCCGCAAGTCACTCATCAGTGAGTTGGTTTGCATGTGTGCTTGACGCTAACCCTAAACACCAAAACCACGAGAAATGTCCTGTCCCAGATTTTTTTACCGGTCAGGGTTGACACGAGAAACACGATAATCTTCTCGTTTTTTGTCGATCAGAGTTGACACGAAAAACACAAGAAATCTTCTCTCTTCCACCGGTAGATTTTTCTCGGTCAGAAGACTCTTTTCGCGCTGTTTTCTCGTCGGAAAAGAAAGAGGGCCGCTTGTTTTCTGGGACGCCTCATAAAAAGACGAACAGCTTCGTATTCCCACACTTGTGTCTTGTGAGGAGAACGGTTCGCTCATGATAGAGACGTCTCAAGAAAACGTTTCGCAAATGAAAAGAGCGCACAGATTTACATGTTCCTTGTCCGTCCGTCCGCCCGCCCGAGCGTCCGTTTTTTCCTCTTTTTTTAAGAGGTGCAAAAAAATGAATTTTGTACACCATTTAACGAAAAAAGAAAAAAAAAGTCACGCATGAAAACCATCACGAACTTGGAACAGTAAGGTCGACACACACACACACACACACCAACATTTTCCAGACATTTTTGGGCTCACACAACACTGGCCTCTTTTCGTTGTGGTCAGCCGGTTAGCGTGGTCGATGCTAACTAGTAAAACACACACACGCACGCTCATACAGGCCTGCACCGCCTAACTAGTAAAACACACACACGCACACTCATACAGGCCTGCACCGCCTAACTAGTAAAACACACACACGCACGCTCATACAGGCCTGCACCGCCTGGTGGCGAAGGTGACCCTCTACGAAGCGGACACGCTGACCCCCTGCACGCAGATGAACAAGCCCTGGGAGATGCGGGTCGTCTCCGAGAGGGACTCCGAGGTTCGGGAGGTGGTCTCCAGGAAGGTGAGGGGGGGGGGGGGGCGGGAAGGGGGGGGAAGGGGGGGGGGGGACCCCCCTTTTTTTCCGGGGTTGGTTTTAAAACCCTTTCCCT